GGTGGTAGGAGTAATTCCCGTGTGAGATCTTTTGTCTCAGTTTACATAAACGGCAGAGCAGTTCAAGATGTCATATTCACTGATCAGCCAGTAAACTCGATAGGTTTTCACTAGGAGAGGTTCAAAGCCAAAAGCTACATTCTCTGATGTCGGGGTTAGTCTGTTGTACTCTCTCTTAGAGTCATTATTGTTGAACGGTGTTCGTTTGTTGAGTCGTTCGGTCAATTTTTATTCATGTGGGGGATTGTTGGAAAAATGGTTTTTTTTTTGGTGGCTTTAATTAAAGATTAAAGTAGGTCCCAACCATCTATTGTGAATGGCCAAAAACCATTGAGATTTGAATGAGAAATTACCTAGCTTCATGGAAAAAAGGTAATGAAGTTTGTAACTCTTGCATTAATGGGGTTTGTAACTCCTGCATTAATGGGGTTTGTAACTTCTGCGTTTATTGCAGAGGTTAATGGTGCATTATGAACAGCCATAAAGGCTGGAGGCTCTTCCTCTCTCCCCTATACATGTATAAATTGAGACCCTCCTATCAAGTCTCAAACATAGAAAATTTTACTTCCATTTCACAAGTCAGTTTGCCTGAAAGTTCCTACAGTGAGAGAGTGCTGCCACTGTTTTGTTCACTAAGCTAGACAGAGAGTGCTTTTGCCGTAGCTGGTTTTGACCGTCGTATCCTGGGAGACAGACGCCGGGATTCCTCAAGCACTCGACCAGTGAGGCGGCGAAATCTGTTTTAAGGAAACTGCTTCCGTGCAGGCTTCGGTTTCGTCTCTTTACCCTTTTATTGTTTTGTGTATTTCCGTTGAAATTTAGTTGTAATTATTAGTATGTGTTCTTAGTATATATATAATTTGATTTCTTCATAAATCTATTTATTTAATTTCAAAATTTGAACAACAAAAATTCCATTTTTTTTGTATATAAATATATGAGTAGTGATAGAGAGCTCTAATATTAGAGTTCTAATATGAGCTCTAGTAACGTGTCAAAAAAAAAAAAAACAAATAAATAAGTTAAAATATCACATCAACATGTGAGATGCGGAAATGGGATACCTATTGTATGTTAAAGCACAGCAGGATTTGTTGTGCTCTTAAACGACACCGCATTGGTGCATTTTCTTGTAACCATTCAAAGCTATTGTCCTTCTAATGGGTAAGCTTTAATGTTTTTAAATTCATTTTTTTCTTTTGTTTGTTTTAGTTATAAAAGTTATAAAAAAAAATACTTTCTTAAGATCAAAATGATAGAACCAAAATTTTTGGTTAAGTGATTTTGTAATTTTGTTTTATGATGTGAGGTTGTTGGTTCAAATTCAATCTAGGTTGACAAACTTTGTAAGATCTCATTTTTTTAATAACAAGTAAGCTCTACTAATAAATATTGTGTGATAAATAAAATAAAAATTGAAGTCAAAATCAAAATTAATTTTGAGATGGCAATAAAAATAATTCTCAAAATAAATGGACATTTTGACCTTTTTTTTGGTCACACATTATATATACTATATGAAAAATCGATGGAACCGAAACAATCACTTAAGACTGATCAAAAATTTAATTTTTGGTTTGTTTTTATTTAAAATTTTTATATACCAATATAAAACGAACCAACTGAAATATTTTATTAAAATTTAGTCTCTCTTAATTCATTGAGTATTACACTATAAGTGCTCAATAATATATGTTTTTTTTAACAAAAGTTAGGGGGACTTACGTACATGTCCTAATAGATGAACTTATTATCTAATAGGTCCTATGATAATTAATAACATTTTTCATCAAATACTATTAAAAAAATGTTACTAATTGTTAATTTTTACTTACAGTTTAAAAATTTGGTCATAAAAAATGTCACTAATTATAAGTTTAGCGACAGTTTAACAAAATCGTCACAAAAAGTCACTAATTTTCAATTTTAGTGACAGTTTAAAAAATTGTCACAAAAAAGTCACTAATTGTAAGTTGTAGCGACAATTTATAAAAACTGTGATAAAAAAAATCACTAATTGTTAATTTTTAGTGACATCTGTAAAAATTGTCAAAAAAAATTATTTTTAAAGAAAATTTTATTTAAACTTATTTTCAATAAGACTTGAAGTAAATTAATTTCAACTATTAGAACATACTAATTTATCCTAAAAGCTAAGGATGAATGTATTTATAAAATTATATTCCTTAACTCATACCAAACTAAACCACTTACACCCGTAGATATACGTTAATAGGAATTAGTTGTTAGTAGAGGAATGTGATAACATAAAGAGCGAATTACACTAACAGTCCTTATATTTTGGGATTTAAATCATTTTGGTCATTGACTTTTTAATTGCGACACTTTTGACCTTGAATTTTGAATCTTATTTCAAATAAAGACAATTGAAGATATCAATGCTTAATTTTAAGGGCAAAATTGTCAATTTGATAAAATATAAACTAATTTGACAAAAATAAATGTCAAGAAAATATTTTTAAATTTTTAAAAATTATTTCTACCTACCAAAGATAAAGTTATGTAAAATCGATAAATCTTTTAGACATTTATTTATTATTATTATTTCAAAATTAATTTTAATTATGTGTTTAGATGATAATCATGTAATGAATGATTGTTAGGATTTTAATATGTAATCAATGTATTTAATATATGAAATGTTTTTAGTTTTAAATTTCTTGATTTAATGGATTGGTATAATAATAATATCAAAGTTATCGTCATATTTGACTTTTGAAAAAATAAAAACTAATTCAATGAAAATAAAAACAACCACCAATTACATAATCATCATCCAAACATATAATAAAAATTAATTTGATAAAAATAAATAAATAAATGTCTAGAAGATTTATCAATTTTACATAATTTTATCTTTAGTAGGTATAAATAATTTTTTAAACTTAAAAAATATTTTTTTGACATTTTTGTCAAATTAGTTTATATTTTATTAAATTGATGATTTTGTTTTTAAAATTAAGTAATGATATTTTCAATCGTTTTATTTAGAACAAAATTCAAAATTTAAGATCAAATGTGTCACAATTAAAAATTCAAGAATCAAAATGACACAAAATCTAAATTATAAGGACCGTTAGTATAATTCATCATAATATAAATGATATCTATTACATTACAAAATGATATTACTTGATTATATTATTTTGATATTAAAAAAAAAATTTTTATAAGTAAAGTATATGTCCTATTTAACACTGTGCACAATACTGTTAAAATCATATCAAAGCGCACCAAGGCGCGTATGTTTTCAATTCCGACAAGCGGTTTGGACATTAAAATGCCAACCCGCCTAATAAATGGACCCAATCCTATTAGGCACTGTTTGGGAAGGAATTTTGTAGGCTTTTTTTTGATTATTTTAGTTATAAAAGATAAAATAAAGTATTTTAGTCACAACAAATAAAATATCACATTCAATCCATAATTATTACAGTCTTCTCTCACAAAATAAGTCAAAAAAATTAAAAAATCAAAAAGTTCTTTCCAAACTAAACTTTTTAGCCCAAGTTAAAACAATAAAAAAGTCAAAAAATCAACCCACTTCCCAAACTAATCTTTTAAATAAGCCAGACAAAAACATAAAGAATAATGACTTGGACCCCATTTTTTACTCACCCCCTTGACCCCCTCTTCCTATGATTAGTCCCTTTTTCTTTTTCTTTTCTTCTCCTCCAATCACCACCCGCCACGCGTGTGTAGGGGTGGTGGGAGTGGTGATTGGAGGGGGTCTCAATCATCACCCAAACATAAAAATAAAAAATATTAACAACATAGTGGAAAATATTTGAAATTTCCACCTTTTTAATTCCCACAATTCTTAATTAATTTGTGATCACACATTTTTTTTTCTTCACTCTCTCTCCTCCCACTACAACAAAAGTAACCTATAGTGACAAAAAGTGGTGAAGAAAATAAATTTCATCACTAAATAAGAATAATCCGTGACGAATTATAAAATTTTGTCACATATAATAAAAAGGTAAAAATAATAGGTGACGAAATTTATTTTTGTCAACAAATACTTCTTTTTAGGTGAGGAAAAAGTAAGTTTTGTCACCGAAAGTTTTCTTGCTAATTTTTTTTTGTGGCGCCAAAATTTTGAGACTTTTGGTGAGAAAAAAATTTGTCACTAATTATAAAATTATTAGCGAGGAATATATTTTCGTCACCAATAATTTTGTTTATATTTTTTTTGAGAAACTTGATTTTAATATTTTAAGACCATTTGGTGAGAAATATATTTTTGTCCCTAATAAATTTTAATATTTTGAAACTTTTTAGTGAGGAAATTATTTTGTCACTATTTTGGAGGAAAAATTTTGACATATTGGGCGGTAATGGAAAAAAATAGACTACTAACTTTTTTTCTCTCTTTTATTTTTGTTTATCAGTTTTCCTTTCCCCTCTCCTCCTCCTCTCTCTCTCTCTCTCTAAACAAAACACAAGTTAATTAGCTTTCTAAGTAACCCATGGTGACGAAAAATAGTGAAGAAAATAAATTTTGTCACTAAATAAGAATAATCCGTGACGAATTATAAAATTGTCACATATAATAAAAAAGTAAAAATAATAGGTGATGAAATTTATTTTCGTCAATAAATATTTCTTTTTAGGTGACGAAAAATTAAATTTCATCACCAAAGGTTTTCCCTCTAATTTTTTTTGGGTGGTACCAAAATTTTGAAACTTTTAGTGAGAAAAAAATCTGTAACCAATTATAAAATTATTAGTGAGAAATATATTTTGTCACCAATAATTTTAAATATTTTTTTTAAAAACATATTTTTAAATATGTTGAAACTATTTGATGAGAAATATATTTTTATCGTTAATAATTTTAATATTTTAAAATTTTTAATTACAAAATTATTTTGTCACAAATTTTAAAAGGAAAACTTTGAGATTTTGACGGTAATAAAAAAAAAACCATACTAATTCCCCTCAAACCCTTTTTTTTTTTTTGGTAATTTAATTTTTCTTTCATCGTCTCCTGCAACACAAACATTCTCTGCCTTCAGCCACTCTTCAGCTTGTTCTCCTCCTTCAACGCTGCCACTGACGTCACCCGTTCTCTTCCTTCAATGTCGCCACAGGTAGGACTGGGTAGCGGAGGTGCTGACCAGGCAAACCAATCCCCCCCCCCCAATTTTTTTTCCCTCTACCTATTTCCCCTTTTCTTCCCTGTCTCACCTTCATTTTTTCATTAGACGTTTTTCTTGCCGTAGGTTCTTCCTTCGACAACTCTCTGTCTCTCTCACCTCTCTGTCTCTCTTACTTAAACGGCAGCGAGCAACGATCGGAGATCGGCGACAGTGGCGGCGAGCAGGGATCGAAACCTCAATTGGAAGGTATTCTTCTCTTCTCTTCTCTTTTCCTCCTCTTCTTCTCTTCTGAACCTGTGTTTTGTGTTCTCGACCTTCTCTTCTTCTCTTCTCTTCTTCTCTTTTCCTCTTATTTTTCTCTTCTGAACCTGTGTTCTGGGTTCTCGACCTAATCACAAATTCCTTTTTGATGAAGTGGGTACGCGATTGATAAAACTATTTGTAAGCTAATTGATAAAACTAGCAATTAAAAGTAATTCATAAACCTATTTTTAGAATTTGGTTTTGCAGATTTCAGTTCTAGTTCTTCTCTCATTGATTTGGGGTTTTACAAATTAAGCTAATCTTCTTTCTTCTATTTTATTGTTTGATGATGAAGGTGATGATTTCTGGGTTTTTCATTTGTTAATTTGTTGGTATAAGAACTGTGATTTTGAATTTTCTGGGTTATTTGTGTGAATTGCTGGTTGTTCAAGTAAAGTTTTTTGTCAAATGCAATATACTTGTTTTTTTGGGATTAATAGGAGTTAACACTCTATTCTTTTGTGTGTGTATGTGTGTGTGTGTGTTTTGTTTCCAACCTGATAATTAAAAAGCTAATGACTTGATGTCAATGAGAACATAGAAATTTGTTACTAAGAAACTGTGAATATATTATTGTCAACAACTTGTAATTTAACTTCAAATTTTTAACTTCAGATTTGTTGTCAACTTGTGATTTAACTTCAAATTACAATGTGAATGTTAGAAACACAAAACTCAAAATAATTTCAGATATAAATAATTTCATAAATTTTGGGCTGCCTAAATTAAAACAGTGAAGAACTACTTAAAAATTAAGTCAGAAAATGGCCCAAAATAGTTTAAATTAGAAAAGATTAACTAGCTCCTCAAATCCTAGAATTAGAATATTTTAAGTGATTATACAATAGGATTTCACATACCCACTGGCTGTTTGATGAACATAATTAGAATCTAATAATAATGAATAGAATACATAATGTAGGAACAATTGTTTAATGAAATCTATTTGATGAATATAATACATATGCAAGTGTTTTTATTTTGGTTAGAACTTATGTGTGAGATGGGAATAATAATTATCTATGCAAGTGAAGAATTATTTTGACTGGGAATAAGAATTATTTATTTTACGTATTTATGTGTGAGTTTTTGGTTAGAACTTTTCTGCTTTTGTAATGGAGTTGAAAACAGGAGACTAAACTTCCTAATGCCTTGTAACTCGTAATGCCTCGTAATGCCTTGATATTTTTATTCTTTTGCATTTTTGTTGCTAGGATATTTGATCATGCACTGAAAGACCAAATTCAAAATCGGGCCTTGTCCACTCTTTATCTATATGTATATCTTTGTTGGATACAAAAAGATCAACTACTTCTCCCATGTTTCATTTCTTTCGAAGTCAACACATCTACGAGTCACCTACACCTGTTAATCCTAAGACCGTTGGTGCAAGGCTGCCCAAGCTTGGTAAGTGTGTCATAAAATTTGTGTATGTTTGCTTGTGATGACAAGGTTTCTTTCTACCTTATGTTAAATTTGTTTCTCTACCCACTTCAGTAACTTAGAATATGAATTTATGGCTATAGCTTGTGCACAAATTGGATGTTTATGTACTTGTCTTAAATGGGAAACTTTTTTCCCTTTCTTTGTTCTGAAACTGATATTTCTGAGTTTCTTTTCTTTGGATTGAGGTTACTTTGCTTTGTTCAATGTAATATCATGAGCTCATATGTTATGATAGACCATCTGCATTCTATTGATGTGAATTGGTGGTGGAAACTGTTGAACATTGTTTTAAATTTTGTTTTTATTAACTTTGAAGTTAATTCGTGAATTGAAACACATGATATCTACATTGGTTACCGACATTGGTGGCAAGTTCCCTGTACATTGATGGTTTTTGGGTACTGGCCTCCCACTTTTTTTATGATGAGGAAGAGATTATTACATAGTACGAAATGGAAAGATATAAGACAATCAAGAAGAATAATAAGAAAATCGATGCTCTACCATGTCCCTTCTCATTTGTTGAGTTTATACATATTTATATATGTACTTAAACATGTAAAGGTATTTATTGAAACACCTCAACTTAGAAGATTAGTTGAGCTAAGTTATTGGGATAGTGCCTTTGGATGACAACTTAATGCTGTGACTTTTGGCCAAGAAAATAGTGGTATATTAAACATTGAGAGGGGGGGTGCACGTGCCCCCTGGTCCTCATGTGGCTCCCCCATGTTGATGACTGTTAACCAAGTTGTCAAAGGCCAGGAGTTGTGCAACAAACCTGAAAGAAAAACTAAATCAAGATAAGTTTTACTTAAGATCCTTTATTCAATTTAAGTTCTTCAAAAAGACAAAATGAACAAATTTTCTGAAGAACAAGTTGACCAAAAACCAGCAAGGTTGCAATTCCTTGTTTCACATTCATTCTAGCTCCATTGAGAATTAGAATAGGAGCAAGCTAAATGTTCTCACATATTTTATAAGCTATTGTAGGCTAAGATCGATTGATAGCTGGAAAGTTTAATAAGTGTTACGAACTCTCTTAAATAGGAAGTTAATGAAAGAAATCTACCTTATCAGAAATTAAAGTAAGATAAGATAGGGAAGTAAAGAATTGTCGTAAAATTAATTTTCTTAATTATGATAAACTAGTAACATAGCCTTAAGACCTATTGCGACTCTGGGTAAACACAAACACACACATACACACAAACATCACATTTAGGACATGCTATTGGCATTTATCTTAGCTTCTTGTACTCCACATATTTGAGTTCCAGAGAAGCCAAAAAGCACATGAAAAGTGGATCACAAGATGCTAAAGTGGAGTGCCAATGGGGCAATCACATGCACACGGACACTTGCAAATTAGTCTTCAACTTATTAGTTGTGATATGAATTAAACTCAACATTCAGCTTAAGTAAAGTGGTGCTCCATTCTGTTTTACAGAAGATAACAAATCATAAATTTAGAGTTTCCCATTTCACTCTAGAGCTAGGGTTTTTTTTGTTTTTTGTTGATGTTGTAGGATTTTTATTTTTGTGAAATGAGTACATGAGTTTTGATTTTTGTTCTAGATTTAGGGTTTTTTGAACTAATTATTGGTGTGATAGATGAGATGATTTATTCTGTGAAATGATTTAGGGTTTTTGAATTTCAAGTTGAAGATATATTGAACAAACAAAATGGATTGTAGTTTTAATTATACACAATTTTCTGTCGATTCTTAATATTAACTCCAATACTAATTTAACAATGATTTTTTCTCATTGCTAAAATTGTAGTTCTATTTCACTGCTCCTAATGTTTGTCTATTTCATCAAGCGTTTTGTCCAAATCATTCATCAAGACACATCGGGGATTAGGTTGTAATTCGTTTACTTGAATTTTTGTATTATACATTTGATCAAATGTATTTTGATCAGTAGGGTGCTCGTGATTTTTACCTGAACTGATTGTTGTTCAGTTGCTCTCAATGGTTTTTCACATAAGTCATGATGTCTATCATCTTGATTTATTTAGTGTGTTACTGTGTGGAAGACTTTTGATCTATCTTGAGATTGAATAACTGTTAATAATCCACCTGGTAATTTTTAATTGGTAATTTGTTTTAAGAGTTTGCCCTATTCACTCCCCTCTAGGCACAAAGGTGTCTGTCTCCGCAATTTCATTATCCTACTAATTCATTTATATTGTTTTGCAGGAAGACAAGGAGAAACTTGAGAAGCAATTGCATGATATGGCAGTGGTGGTTGAGAGATTGGAGAGCAGCAGACAGAAACTGCTAATGAAGGTAACATCCTTTCCTACTATTTCAATTCATTCAATAACCTGGACTTGAAGTTTTCAGTTTGCTGCTTAATCTTGTTTATAGATTGATTCCCAATCTTCAGAGATAGACAGGGTTTTTGAGGAAAATTCTAATCTTTCATCTGCTTATCAAGAGGCAATGGGTGTAGTAGTGCACTGGGAGAATCAGGTACTTAGTGCTGGAGGTTTGACAGAATCTGGTTTTCAGATTTAGTAATCTGTTGACACCTTTTGTGGTTTCTTTCTCTCTCTGTTTTTTTCCCTTCTCCCTTATTGATGGATCTTTAGGCTGTCCCAAGGTAGTTTATGAATAACCTTGGACAGTGTAATTTGGTTTAATTATAGTGTTTGGATTGGCTGCATTACATTTTCATTTTAGAGATTGGACATAAAAAGTTGCTTCCCTAGGTGTTTAGCTTTCATTTCATTTAGAGTTCACAATGAAAGCTACCCTGGTCAAATGAACAAAGAAAGCAAAAAAATTCTTTATCCTTTGTGCATGCCTACAGCATTCATGGTTTTCAATTGTGATTTTACTTTTTTTTTTGGTAAAAATTTATGTTGACTAAGGACCATCAATTTAGCGCATAATTGAGCTCCTATTCCTCATATTTGAACCCTTGGACAAGTTGCATGAAAAATGAATTCATGCCTTGATGTATTTGTCCTGCTGGAGATTTGTGGTGAGGTGGAAGTTTAAGATATAGATGTAGGATCTCAATTATGTCAAAAGAGAACTTCATGAAGGGGGTGTCAGAAGTTTTAAGGACAAATATTTAATCAAATAATATATTGTTGTGTTTGAGAAGAGAGAATTTTACGTACAATGCTCTTTAGAGATTTTGGATTAAGCCTTTGATTCAAGGGAAAATAGTTAATCAGATGTGAAATAATACTGGCTGCACAATGAAGCCAGATATTGAACTACAATACTTGTATCTAAGACACCTATCTGCCTTTGCTTTACCTATTCATATGTTTGTTTATACATCAGGATACCCCATGGCTTTGCGATAAACTATATCTATAGGCTTGAGTTTAAGCTTGAGCTTGAAAAGACATTTAGTTATGTAATTTGCCTTCATCTTGTCGTGGATGAGGAATGCTTATATTATCTTTACTTGTTAAGTTTCGTGGAAGTTATGTGGATCTCTTCCTCAAAACAATAATATGCATAATGTGATTCCTGCAGGTAAAAGACTGTCTTAAGCAGAATGAGGAGCTCCGCAACATGTTAGATAAGTTGAGGACAGAACAAGCTAATGCACCAGCATTGAATGGCATGGAGAGCCAGAGAGGCCTTTTAGAAGCAAAGAAAGATGGGGGAAATGAGATTGGTTCCCAGACATATATAGCTGAAATTCTTTCCATCAAGGTCAGTCGTGGCCAAAGATGATAGTTTTGCATATATACACATGGGAAGTAAAATATGTTTTCTTAAAATTAACACTGTGAAGTGATACTGGCTGATCTAGTGTGTGTTTTGCTGATGTCATCAATTTAACTTTGGAGCCTACTCAGGCTTATTTGGAGAAAGGGGAAGGTTACTGTAATTTCTTTCAGTTTCATTTTTTTGGTACGTCATGTAGAACTAACTACTAAGCTAAGGGCAACGGGTAAAGGGTGGCAGGAATGAAACCCACAATGAGGCTCGAAACCCAGGCTAGCAACCTGGTAAAGAGAAGCCAGGACCACTGGGCTCTCTTTTGCCCTGGTTACTGTAATTTCACCTAGTGTATGTTAAAGTAGCGCATCTGGGTCATGGTTCTAAATAACAGTATAGGATATGTAGTAACGGTATTGGCAATATGATCATACATCAGTCAATATTGGATACTATCGGCTAATATATTGGTAAATAACAATATCAAAAATCTAAAATCTTGATATGACGGTCGATATTTAAAATTTTGATTTGAGTGGTCTTTGTTTTTAGGGTCAACTTGCTAAAGAACAGAGCAGAGCAGAAGCACTATCAGCAGAGGTCTTGCAGCTCTCAGCACAACTCCAACAGGCCACACAAGCATACAATGGTCTTGCACGACTGTACGTTCTCTTCCCTGATCTTTTTTTTTTATTTTTTTTTGTCCCTCCTTTTACAAGTGATGTTGACTGAGGCCCTTTCCATTTCTTCAATTCTTTTTCTTCCTTTGGGTCAACTCCATGTTGCAGCTATAAACCTGTATTGCGGAGCATTGAGAGCAATCTCCTTAAAATGAAGCAAGATGGTTCTGTGATGGTGCAGTGAAGATGCAGAGCAGTTTCAGGATTGATCAAACCCCTTGGTGGCATATCCCATGTGGAAATCAGTGGCTTTTGTAGACAAGGGTCCCGCTTACAGCAGGGTTTGTGAAAGTTCGTTAACTTACCCCTACACGGTGACAAACTAAGGGAATATCTGATGGGGGTTCATACACATTTTTTAAAATTTTTTATTTTGGTGCCATAAACAATTAAACATTTAGTACATGTAATGCTAACCATTGTAGATTATGAATTGCTCTTAAATATAACATCATTTATTCAAAATGAGAGTGAAGTAGGTATGTCATCGCTTATAGCCTTGGTGTTTGAAACTGTACGTGTTCAAAATCTCTCGAAGATCTTGTAAAAAATTACAAAGTGAAAAAATTGCAAAGTGAGAAAGCTGAGGGGAAAAGGGAAAAAGATTTTCCACAGGATTACCAATAATCACTGCATGAACAAACTCGGTTTAAAAATGATGAGACGGCTCACATCTCACACTAGAATCTCTCTATTTGGGAACTTGGAAATGAGATTTGTGACAGAATGACGGTCTTCACATAAGCACTGTTGATCAGTCTGAAGTTAACTGCCAGTTTTCACTATGGCTTAACACAATTCGTTCATATTCTCATCGGCTTTAAGATCATAGATGGCAACTTTGGTCTCTGGCACAAAACCCTCCTCCTCCATCTCCATAGATAGCTCTAATAATAAAGCATAGACCTGGTCAATGTGTGGATTGAATTCATCACCGTGAGTGAATGAATACATCTTCCTAAACCCAACTGAGAACTGAGACTTTCTGCAGTCCCAAGCAGCATTTTCTTCACTCTTTTTATCTCAATCCCACATCTTAC